ATGGATTCAGAGGCATTGATGTTCTAGGTAATTCTTTTGTAGGAAGAGCAGTGCTTCTGAGTGACTTTAATTGCCTAAGAACTTCAAAAATGCCTTAAAAATGGACAAACTGTAGGAGCTTATGACTATTAACAGAAACAGCATAGTTATTTTAGACAACACTAAGTAATAGATTGTGTCTGTGTTGTGGACATGATGGATGGAATTGCACACATAGGGGCCCAGCAGGCCATACATGAACTGTATGTAATAGAAATGTCACCCGTAAATCCAGCTGATAGAATCATCCAAGAAAGGGAGGCAGTGGTGCTACTCACACACACAGTTTTTTTTTTTAAAAAAGGCAGAGGGTGCCTCTGAGAGGAGGACCTCCCTGAGCCAGGTACTGGGCACCACTGAGTCCTACCCTTGTCATTATTCATTGATTCAGACTTGGTCCCCCTCCTTTCTGGTACCTATTCCAATCCACACAACATGGACAGATGGATATAGATAGCATCAATGCTAAACAAGACTCAGGAGCTTTAGAAGAAAACATCTGAAGAAGGAAAGTCCGGCAATTTGCTCAGGACATATTCCCAGAGATGATGCTAGTCTCCCAGCCCCTACCAGAATATAGAGGGATTTTCTATCTTCTGTCTCATTTGCTTGTCGCTGTAGTACCAGGAAGCAGGTTATCAGGTTTTCATTTCACAGGTGAGAAATGAGGGATGTTGACAGTTAAATGAATTTTTGAGAATCATGTGAGGAGCAGAGAGGGGATCCAACCCAGGACTCTCTGTGTGAGTCCAGGAGGTGAGGAAGATGCCTGCCCTGGGGAAAATGAGGCTCAACAGGACAGCACCTCATGCTAAGGCTTGGATAAATCAGATTTGCCCTTAGAATGAGAGGCTAGCAGCCACAGCCAGCAGGCCAAATCCAGAATTGGATTTGTTTGGCTCTCAAGTACTTAAAATTTTCTAATCAGTTGTCAACATTTTAAAGCCATATTTCTGGCTTATAAAATCAGGCAGTGCTGGGCATAGCACTTGCTGGAACAGGGTGGTGGCTATATGTATGTCCTGCAGTTCTCTGCAGTCCCCACCTGTCCCCATTGCCTTTCACCTAGCCCAGATCATTTCCCTCCATTATTATCTGGCCTTCTGGCCTTTGAGTTTGTTCTCTTTGGCTTGGATAATCTCAAATCAGGCCTCTGTGTGATTCATCTCCCAATTCTGAAGATCTCTGGGGGCTGCTTTCCCTGATTCTGATGCTCTGAGGATAGCCAGCAGATAGACATGTGAAGTTTGTCATTCATTTAATTCTCTCTGATGGTCAGATGATCCAGCCATCAGAATGAAATGAGGCCAGGTGCCAGAGAATGACTGTGGGAGTTCATGGTGATAACAGCCTCACTGCAGATGGTTTGGCCACAGTAACAGGGAAAGTTTTGCCTGGCTCAGCCTGTTTTAAACTCACAGCAGCTGTATTCAGTGTGAGGATACATCCCTCCAGCCCTCAGGTAAATCTGAGCTTGCATAATTCATGATGAACCCTGACCAAAGATGATGGACATTTTTTTGACAGCTAAAGTGGTCTGGCTACATGGCAATAGCTTGGAGAGAGTTTATAGGTTATATGCGCCCCCGTAATGCAATTTTTGATAGGTTCGAGGATAAAATGGTCACAAACCTGAGTCTGAAATTTGGGAACACTATTTTCTGGTGGTTAGATGGTGAGAAAATTCAAAAGCACTCCAAACCTGTCTGCAAAGAGCTTGCTGGGGTGGACACACTGGAGGTGCTCACAAGTAGCAAAATGTCTTTGGCCTTGACTGTATCCTGGGAGATGGTCCTCTCATGAGATTACTCAAGGGAACCAAGGACCTGGGATATCATGATTAGGAGTGTGATAGAAGAGTTTGAATCACAGGTGGACCCAAGTTACGGTCAATTATGAGTAAAGAACTATGGGTGTCATGTCCAATGGCACATAAGAGGATTGCAAAATTCCATCCCGTGGGGACCAGAAAGCTCTACTGTTATGAACTATTAAATGGGGAAAACACAGGAACCATATATTTTTAGTATGGGATGTAGGAAGGCTGAAACCAAGATGTGAGATCATGGTAACTCTCTACACACTCTTCCATCTTAGATTCTCCAAATCCCTGAAAGCCTCTGCTTCAGGGTAATTATTGAGTAATTGTGAGGATTAAATGAGGCTACACATTCCATAATTCTTTGTGAATGTAAAAGAAACGCACACATGAGGTATCCATGGTAACATTTACTGTTTCCCCATGAGGATCCACCCAATAATGCCCCAATAGTCCACAGCTCAAGTAGTTCATGGCTCAAGTAATACTTACAGGTTGACCTGATGACTGATTTCAGGACTTCTATTGGTCAGATTTTTTGGCCTGCCATCTACTTTTAGGACAGTGGTGGCCACAGACACTTACATGGATCACACTGTAAAGCTGGGGGCAGGGGGAGGGCAGTGGGGAAAGGCTAATGTGCCCATCTCAAACACTGGGTGAGCTCAGTGGTGTCCCAGGAAGGTTAGACATGTCATGACTGAAGGTTACATACAGGCCCACCCACGTCATTCCTGACACTGAGTTTTCAGAATGCCTACTATTTGGTCTCCTGCCCATGGTAAGAGCCATAGCTTTTGTTCACATTTCTAAATTGTTCTTGCAAAGGCATGGGGTCAAGTGTTCATTTTGGTCATTCCTACCTTTAAAAAGACAGTGCCGTTAGCTGAAGATTGCTTACACTCGTGTACACAGTCACCAAATAGACACTCTTCCTTAAAGTCGCACAGCACACAGACTAGAAACCACTTGATACTTGCTTTTAGGAACCACATACTACCAAGAAGCTAGTGCACCATTCTCCTGCCAATCGTGAAGTTTGTGCTTTCGAAGTTTCAGAATTATCAAAGAATAATTCCATATCGGAAGGTTATAATGAAGTATAAGACGGGGGGGGGTAGGAATAAAGGATCTGTGGGAGAATAAAGGGCGTGAGAAATGTGTTTGCACAGGAACAACTGAGTGAGGATAAAAAATAAATATTTTGAATGTTGCTAATGCAGAGCCTCTTTTAGGAGCCCTGGTCCCCCTGCTCCACTGAAGCCCAGGAAGGTGCAGATGGCAAGACAAGCAGATGGGCAGGTTCGGGAATAGCAGGGGAAGGGAAGGGAGGGGAAGAAATAAAAGCAAACTGATGTAAATGGCAGGTTTATTCACACATGCTTAGAGAGAGAGAAAAGACAGCCAAGCCCAGAGTAACATGACAGCCTGGCAGGATTGTTATTCCCAGAAGCTGGGACACAAAAATAATTCAGCCAGTTTCCTGCCTTAACTCTCCAAGGGAAATACTTGCTAACAAAGACTGCCCATGTTACATGCTCAACATAACGCAGAAAATGCCATTCTATTTTCTTGGATAAGACAGACTGTCACAACCTTTGTCTCCATGGCACCAGGCTGTGGTCACCAGCAGGAAGCTTCTCCACTTCCTCTCTTACTTTCTCACCATACACCTATGCATACAAACACGTGACCATGCACATACATACAAACACACCACATGAACACACCACACACACACACACACACACACCAGCACAGCCATCTGGACAGCTATGCTTTCCCATAACACTTTTTTTTTTTCTTCTCAGTTCTGACAGCGTTAACCCAAGAATCATCTGCTATCAAAAATGTCTGGTACTAAAAGGGGTGGAACAAGTTTTAGGATGGGACGTGAAAGAGTAGGAAAGGATGGACTAAAAAAAAAAAGGAGGTCAAGAAGAGAGATACACAACAGGAAAGAAAGCAAAGAAGGATGCTTAGTTTCTGCTACTCTGTTAGCAAGTTATCTTTATGGACCGTTTTATTAAAAATCTATAATAAGATCATAGTCCACTGTTGATGGCCCCTGTCACCTATTGATGTGATATTCGCTTGCTCTCTGACTCTTGCTCCCTCACACAGGGGACAGCATTTCTCTCTATTTAATTACTTATTATTTACTGGCAGTGTATAGTACACTATGCTTAGAACACAGCACCTTACAACTCTGTGCTTTAGGTCAGTGTCTTGTAAATTCTTCCATTAATGAGTTTCATGGGATGAACAATTGTAGCTAAGTATCACTGTATCTCTCACGGTATCCAATCCACAGTATGGTATAGAGTGGGTGCTAAATAACCATCTCTTAATAATAAATGAGTAAATAAAAGAGTTAGTGCATGAATGGACTGGCTAAACAGATTTAAAATGAAATGGATTGCTCTAAGAGTTGTAAAAAGCAATAATGGGGAAAGATGGGAAGAGTAAAAAATAAAACACAGAGACAGAAAGATGTGTTCTGATCCACGCTCGCTGCAGAGCTAGCTACTCAGGGTCCTAGGCACCTTCCATTATTGTCTACGTAGGACTCTGTAGCATGTACCTGGGAAGGCTGCACTCTGAAGAAAGGAGAGTCTAATTGAAAACGAAGTTTCTTTCATTGGGTGTTCCGGTTCTCTCCCAAAGATTTGTAATGCTCCCACCATTCATTCCTCTATCTACTGACCCACGCCCTTTCTATCTGTATACGCATCTGACTCACCCATCCATTCACTCATGCATTCATTCTCTTTCCATCCATGAATCCATACACCCATCTATATAACCATCATCCTTCCATCCATTTGTCCAGTAGCACTTATTAAGGCCTGGCTGGATGTAGAGTAGTATCAGGCACTGCTCCAGGTTAGATACACATATTTGTTCTGATGCTGGATACAAGAAAATTGCCTAGTTTCCAGTTCACTCTTGAGGTTGAAAGATGACATCAGTTTCGTCCACAGTCACGAGCATCAATCATCTAACACCTTTACTCCTATCTGGAGGCCTGAAGACAGGTTGACGGGATGGGCATGACTTTGGCTATGACCCTACATAGAGATGGTGAATGAAAAGCCAACCACACACACACAGACATATACACAAAAACCTCCAGACTCACCAGCCTGGTTTGTGGTGATGTTGACGGAGACATGTTGTGGGGGGAAGGGACTCTTGCTAGAGACTCCATTGATGGCCTGGATATCAAAGGTGTAGGGGGTGTGGGCCCATAGGCTACTGATGGAGACACGACACTCAGTCAGGCCCAGCTGCCTGGGTACAAACTCCACATTGTCGTCACAGCGGGAGCAGCTCCGGCGGTCTGCTCGGCACTTCTTGCAGATGATGTTGTAGGTCACATCATCCCGCCCACCGGTCTCTCTTGGAGGGTGCCACTCCAGAATGATAGATGTCTCATTGACTATGGAGATGACATTTCGGGGGCCTGATGGGACACCTGCAGGGAGACAAAGAAAGGTCCAGTGAGGTTGAGAAGACATCTCCTTGCTCAGCAACTCTCTAGGCTGCCTTTGGTGCCTGCCCAGCCTCAACCTCATCATAGCTCTCTATTCCTCAACCCCAAAGCTTCATGCTCAGATCCATCATAGAGGTAAAATAAGGTAGACAAAGATGACAACCTGTCCCCTTCCCATTATTCCTACTCTGACTTGCTTTCTTTTGATCAGGTGTGCCAAAGGAGAGAACAATTTTAGAGATGTGATTTCAAGTATTTTTATTTTTAGGACCAAGCCCCCATCCTCCATGAACATTTATAGTTAATATGCATGGATCTAAGGCAGTTACTGAATTTCTTACCTTTTCTTCTTTGGAATATAGCTCAACCCTCCCCAAGGCCCTGCAGATTCTGGAATCCTACACAAGTTTCTATATGTCTTACTACCCTTGGGCATGTGCATGGTTCAGGGCTGTGTCTCTACAGAACAGGCTGTCAGAGCAGCTAGAGGGATGAGTAGTCACTCTGCGCCAGATTGATAACTGCAGACAAGAGGCATCACTGGGGGCGGGGGTCGTAACGCTACCATCTTTGACCCAGTGACACAAGAAAGCATAAGCCTGTGTTTTGGAGCAGCCAGCTAGCTACTTGATATGCATGACTTATTTAGCAGACCCTCCCTCCAAGGAATCCTACCAGGGAGATGCAGCAATCCTCTCAAATATTTAGGGAGACTGAAGCTAACAAAGGAACCTAGCTATTGGTCACAGGAACCAAAGTCAAAGTGGATGTCCAGACCTGCCTATTCCAAAGCTCACATTCCTCAGCAGAGACCTGCTCTGTAGTGCCTGCTTCCCCCAGACCAAGCAGCCTCACTAGTATGCTCATGGCTATTCATGATTCAAAAAGTGGAAATGCCTTGCTACATAACTCTGCAAAACTTGTGCCCTGTAGGAAAGCAAAATGTTGCTGAATTGATGGCCACAATGTCAACATTTTCAGATTATGTTGGAGAACCTCCTTCGTACCAAACAGGATTGATCATAGCCTCAAGTTTCCAAGCCTGAGCCTTGCATATTGTCAATGTTCAACGGATGGAAATGAATCCTGCCCGGAAGCCCCCCTTCTGAACAGCAGGTCGGCTGGTGCAGCCGTTCCCGGTAGCAATGCATTCAGAATCCACACACGTGACCATCACCAGCTGAACGAAGACATGTGTAAAGTGGTTCATGCTGGAGACAGGAATCAATTGCCAACACACAAAATGAGGGAATAACAACAAGGTCGGAGGGCACCGGGGAAGGATTCTGTGTTGAATCAGTCAACAGCAAGCAGCTAGAGCAGAAAGCAAATATTAAACCAGATTCTATTAAAACATGAAAGAAAATCAGTACTGTACTATATAAAGCCCATTAGGCTTGAGCTAAAGCATGGCATTCATGCACACTTGTGACAGGGCTGAATTCATGAAGCATTTTTACTGAAGCCTTGGAAATAGTGTTCAGGAATTCTCCACCCATCTCTCCAGGGATACACATCCATTCTCTTCAAGCCAGCACAGAGCGAGTACGGGGAGAGCAGCCAGCCCTGTCTCAGATGTACCTTACTAATCCAGGACAGCCTTGCTGCACTGTGCAGTCTGTGAAAGCCCATTTTGGCCCATGCATGTCTTGAACATCTTTGTTTGCTTCAGGTCAGAGAGACTCGGCCCACAAGCTCCCATTGGTCAATGCCACTATTGCTTGCCCCACTTTTACAGCGGACAGACTTGCCTCAGCCACAAGCCTCTCCTGCACTCAATAAATACATCCTCTGAGTGAGTGCTCTGTGTCTGGTGCGGAGTAAATCTCTTCAAAGGATGTTCCATTGGAGCATCCCCTGGGGTTCCAAGGCTATCTTTCAGAAAGCAGCCTTGGGTAAAAAGGCTGAGGCTTGATCAAGAGAGTAATGGTCTAGCCTTTGCACTTTTTAGACCCTTTCTCCTTTAGAGCTCTCTTCTGTTTAAACTTCAACTTCATACCATCCTCTGACTCCAGTTTCCAAGTGCCAACTTGCAGAAGTTTTCATTTTTGCAAGACAAACACTACCCAGGCATCACTGCACCTTGTTCTAGCTGAGCTTTTCCAGAGTGACTGTCCCTCCTTTCTCTGTGCACAGTCACCTGCTGCGCAGTTACTTCCCTACTCCTCCTATGACTGTGGTTTCTTTCTCCTTGGTTTGACAAATTTAGGGACTACAACTCAGACCACGACTACAACACAACTCAGTCCCTGTGTTCCCTGACACCCCTGTTTAGACACTCACCAGGCCCTAGGAATCATATCTGCATCCTCCAAAACATGGGTCCTGTTTGTGATCTATCAGGGCCACATCCTCACTTCCTTTTCCCTATCTCTCAACAACTTCAGAACAGCCCAGGCCTCATCAATTCACCTGCCTCGCTAAAGGACCTCCCAATCCTCCTGCATTTCTTCTGCACATCTCCCTCATCCACTCCCTTCCACCACAGTGTAAAACCCAAAATGCACACAGGGCCATCACCTTCCTCTGTTCGAAATACCGTGCCTTCAAGTTACCCAGAATTGTCACTCTGCTTTCCATGCGACATAAGTCACTTTCCTAGGGTCTTCTTCTGAGGATCCCATCTCCTTTGACTATTTACCTTGGCCTCTCATGATGCAGCCTTTTGGAAATTTCCTACAATTTCCTGTGTCCCCTATGTTATTTGCCCTCCCAAGACTTTACACAATGTTCTATGTTCTCCCTATGGTTCTTTCTCCTCCAACCTATTTCATGAACTCCAGTGCATCCTTAGAGACCCAGGGTCTACTCCTTGAGGAACTGTCCCCAACCTCTGTCAGTCATACAGTCCCTTCCTGATCTACCATAGATTCATTTTTAGACACTTAACAAAGATTGTACCACTGCATAGTGAAAGTGTCTCTGTGCCATCCTCACCACACTGTGGCATCTTGATGAGGAGGTACCTGGCTTGTCTGAAATAGCGAAGACCACATAGCACTTTGCCTGTCCTTTGCCAATACCCAAAATCATGCACTGTCTTCTTACCTGGCTTTCCTTTTTGCTTTCTATGTGTATGACTGAAGGTCTCATATGTCCACCTCCTCTAGTGAGATGGGATAGCTTTCTTTGGGCAGATGAAAGGATCTCAGGTAGACCTTGACCTCAGCAGCAGTCAAGACCTCCTGAAGTAGCCATAAGTAGCAGAGACTTTGATGAAATAAAGTAGGGAATGAAGCAATGTCTCTGACAGTCATCTCTCATCCACATCTGGGACAGCTTGATAGACCCACCTTAGTGGATGCTACTTCTCATTGTTCCAAGCTGCCCAGAAAGGATGTCCTCAAGAAGGGACTTTCCCCCACATTTATTAGGAACAATTTAATGTGAAATATGGCTGTTCCATGTGTGCTTTTCACAGTGATCATCCCCACAAGTCATGAGGAGGGCAGGAGGAGGGCATGGTTTTTGAGTCCAGGAATGAATAAACCTCATCATTTTCTTCTAAGTAACCTTTACTAGACACCTGAGAATGGAGCACAGAGATCTAGGAGAAGGCAGCATGCCTGATATAAATCCTCCCCCACCTTCCACACTGGTGGGGTATGTCTTGGTTATTTCACAGATTTGGTACCAGTACATTCTTATAGAGATGGATCAAGTCCCAGCCATAAGAGTGACTGGGAATCCATTCATTATTCATTTACTCATTCATTCTTTCACTACTATAACAAAAAGTCTCTGGACTTTTCCAGCCACTTAGGAGGCAGAAAGAAATAAGAAACAAAGCAGGCAGACTTTTTCTCTGATGGAACTTGTACTTAGCTCTGGAGATGGAAATCGGACAGAATAAACGTAAACCTGGGGATAAACGGGATGGCTTCAGATAAGAATAAGTGTTGTGAGTTAAAACAGCCTGGGCCTCAGATCCCCAGGACAATGTTGAGCTTTGTCCCTTATTCCCAGGAGGTCTGCTCTGGGCCAGGCAAGCTAGTGCTTCACGGCTTGGGGTAAAAGAAGAATTATCCCAGGTGTCTGGGCTCCTGCATCTTAATGAGACAAGCACATTTCTGAAGACAGGCTGCCCAGGCTCTCATGCCTGGATGAAGAGATCAACCAGAGCAGGTCTAGATCCATGCATAAATCTCACTAGAGGAAGGTGCTAGGACCACTTTCTAACCATTTGGGTGTTTCTCCTGGATTGGGGACCTATGCATTTCCAGGACTATTCATTTAGAATATAAGCTTCCAGCAACATCCCCAGGAAGGAGACCTAAATGTTATAAATGGGAACAGAGAGGGAGGTCAAAAGATAGGAAGAAAATCTGCTACCCCCATCAGCAAAAGTCCCCATCGACTGCCTGGCCAGGCTCAGCAACACAGTCTCCTTGTCTGAGCTTCCCGCTCTCATGGCTGCTCCCTCGTTTTTCTTAATTACATACAGACAGGCTTGAAGCCTGTCTGATCTGTTGCCACGGTTACTACTGATGAACATATTCTGTTTAAGAGGCTAGGGAAATTCAGTCCTTTGAAAGAATGGAAAAAGTGTTGAACTGTGATTTTTCTGTTTGAATGAGAGTTATGAAGATGGGTCTCCAATGCCTTGAAATATGTGCCCAAGAGATTGACTCAGTCACATGGAACATGGGTGTCATGGGGACCTCAAGGAGTTAAACTGGATCTCTCTAGAGTCTTGGGGCCAGCCCAAGTGTTGTAATCTTGAGATAGGATCTCCCTCTTTCATAATGTGATTTTGGTCAGGTGACTTTAAGAATGTTAAGACAAGGTGGGTGGCAGAAAGCAAGGGAGTTTATTTGTAGGCATCAAGCTGGAAATAAGAGTTCACTTAAGTCATCAACCTGTGTTGACAACAGGTAAGCTCTGAAAGCCAATCCCTTTATCAGTAATCTTAATAAAGCCAACCTCTTGGTCTCAGAACTTCAAAATGAGTTTCAGGCCCATCTAAGGGACAGAGAAGCCAG